TCATTGACTGGCTAGTATGTATTGTCTGAGCCTACAAGAATTTTTGGAAATAGCAGTTTTCCTGCACTTGAACAGAGTGAACAGTGACTGTGTGAATCCATGGTTCACTACAGCAAGCTAAATTATGGTCCAAACAAACACAATTATAAACTACATGATAAAACTGTTCTAATAGAGAAAAGATCCTCATGTATTCTCAGTGTTACATTAATATGAGCAGTAAGATTTTAAAATAATTATTTTGAAGTGTCCCTGTTATACAGGTGAGCCATTTTGCACTATAGTTTCCTAATTCAGTGCAATATAATAACTTGGCCATCGTTTTCTGAGCAAAAGTAATTAATATTGACCTCCATGCTCCTTTTGAGGGAAAAAACAGGATTGTTCATGCAGGTTTTGTGACAGCTAACTTTTATGTCATAATGTTCAGTTAAAACACTATTTTAAAAATGAACTGTTATAAGTGGAGTAATACCTGTTATTTGGGTGATTCTTTAGGAATTACCTATCTGTTATCTGGCAATATGGCTGGATTTTCTTGGTTTATTGTTATGGCAGAAGAATAAAAAAAAAAATCCATTCTTTGCTGCAAGTGACCAGCCCCAGAGTGCCAGCTGCATCTATTTCCAATAATGCCAGGGGCTTCCATCAGAGGCAACAATATCATTCAGCAAGGCTCCGAAGGCAGCCAAGAGCCATGGATATTATCAGTCCTCTAATCTAGCGACTGTGCAGTATTCCCCAGTCCCTATTTGCCTATCCCCCCCCAAGCAGGTGCGGTCTTTAGCCACCATGCTGAGAGTTTAATTGCTGAAACCCAGGGACAGCTGCTCTTACGCATCTCCAAATTTGTTTCCAGCAAGCAGGCCTATTATCTTCGATGCTATGAAGGGTGATATTAATGGGGGTTGAGGGGTGGATATGCAATGATACTCCTGGGACAAAGAATTTCATTCCCCCCAACATATATTTGAATCTCTCTCCATTGTTCTTCTGCAAAATTTGGGATAATCTAGAAAGCCTGACTGTTATTCTTATAAACAGGCAGGAAGAAAAAACATACCTTTCCCTTTAGGAAGGTTTAGGCTGAAATCATATGTATCCTGCATATTCTAGCATTGGTTGTACCTATTTGGTGCAAACACTCTTTTAAGAGTCACAGTTAATATTTCAGTCTCAATAGCTTCACAACAATATTATATCAACATCAATGTTCCCGAAATGGGGTTGATAATCCAACAGATCTCAAGGATTTCAGGTTGACAAATTCTGGTCTATATCTGGAGACATGCTGGTAGTACTATGCTCGCATGAAATAGCATTTGTTTTTGAAAGAATCAATACTGTTTGGGATTTTATATAGAAAAATGTGCTGTATGTTGGAGCTAAAGAAGGAGATACATACTGCAAAATATATTATAGACTAGGAGCAAGAAAATAAGATGCAAGTAATAACACTTTAATTATGAAGCTTTCAGAAAATTTAGTTATGTAAGAAAAATTTGATAGACACATAAATTAAATTGAAAGCATGTAATTTCTTTTACCAAACAAAAGGAGAGCAAATGTCAATATATAGAACCTGCAGGAAACCACATTCTCCAATTTAGGAAGATGTTGGTATTAACAATAATTAAGTAGTAAAGTCTTTTTATTAAAAAAAAGTATACAATGGCTCAATAATATCCTTCATATGGTAAGGCAGAACAGGTCAACTGAGAATACCATTCTTGACACATCTGCAATCAATCCCCACATATGCCACATATACTTCAATAGCAGAGTCTGTCAGATTTGCCATTGGCATTTGGTAGATTCACTTCAAGCTGAGTTCCAACTATCCATCATTATTGCTCCCTGAAGGTAGATACCAGCAGCAACACATGCAAAATTTGGACCATAAATGTGGCTCCATAATTCCTACCAGAAACCTGGTAGAACAGGTGTGACTACAACGACCCAAGAAAGAAATAGACAAGTAATAACTAGTAAAAGTTATTGTTGAAGGAAAATAATTTTGAATGCTGGTCAGGCTAGACCAGTGATAGCGAACCTTTTAGAGACCGAGTGCCCAAACTGCAACCAAAAACCCATTTATGTATCGTTGGGTGCCGATTGGGCGTGGCCCATTGGGTGGGTGTGGCCCATTGGGTGGGTGTGGCCCATATGGTGGGTGTGGCTGCCGTGGTAACGGCAGACTGGGTGGAACTAAAAAGTTCAATCAATCAATTCCAACTTTGCGAGATCTTTTTTTCCCCGTGAGGAGTTGAAATTGATTGATTGATTGAACCTTTTTTTTTTTTGCATGTGGCGTCGGAGGCCTAAAGCGAAAAGGTTTTATAAAACCCAGCTGAAGGCCTAGGACTGGGGCGACGGCGCGCGTGCCCATAGAGAGGCCTCTGAGTGCCGCCTCTGGCACCCGAGCCATAGGTTCGCCACCACTGGGCTAGACACTCTCTAAGACCGTAGAGAAAATAAACATTGCCAAATTCACACTCCTAACCAGAACTAACTCATTATGGATCATATACAGTTAAAACATCATACAATAACTCATCTGACTTTGCACAGAGGAAATGGCCATCTGGAGATGCTATAGAAGTAGAGAGTTAAACGTTTTGTAGTTATAATCTATTCTCTTCTGAAGAAACAGAGATAGAGCCTTTTCCTCTAGATAAGACTAATAATGTAAGCCACCAAGTTTGTTCTAGGGGAAAGATTAATTACGTCTTGCACCAAGTGGGAGACGTTACGTGAGTTGTGAGAGTAAGGATAATTTTTTCAGCAGTGAAGGTGGAATGAGCAAGATACACCCTTGTAGGCTTTATTCAGTCTAACCAAATGTGCCATCACCTTGCACTTGCACCATCAATATTGCACCATTCTTCACTCGTATTCCAGTGATTTGGAATGGGCACAATTGGTACCATCTTAGACAAGGGCTATTCTAGTATATGCTCTGTCTACTTCCAGATCTGATTTTACAGTTCAAGCACCTGCAAGAAACTAGCTATTTCCTACAGTTCCCCAGCAGAATACTAAATCAGGAACAATGTAGACAATTAAATGGGAAGAAACTCCAATTGCCAGAGCCACCTGAAACACACAGGGCTCACTGATGCAGGAAAGAGCTTGCCAATGATGATGGTTGTAGGGAGATGTATGAGCAAAAAGCCTTAGCAAAATAAAAGTCTTAGCAAATAGCACACAGAAAATAATCAGAAGCCTTAAACACCATATACTCTAATCATCTAAACCCTAGCCAAAACTATTCTTAAAGAATTAATCCAGCCATATTTACTCCCACTAGATCCAACTATATACAGAGAGGACATAACACTAGGAAAGCCTATTTTAGCTAAATTATTTTATAGACAATGTTATATTTAATAGGATTAGGAACTCCAGGGCTTTGGCATCAAAGACATCTAGAAAGCTCTAAAAAAATTCCTGACCTCTAATGGTTATCTGGATTTTTGCAGCCCAGATCTGGTAGCCCTAAGTAAGATGACGTGGTTGGTCAAACTGATTCTGAGCATGACCTTTCTGTTTTTGGCAAGTTACATTTTTGTTGTGCATAATCAAAAGTATAAATATTCCTGTCACCGAAGAATTTTATCATTTGAACATTTAGAGCCTTAAGATTTTATAGTGGCTCTTTGCATGCCCTTGACATCATCATCAGCCTTTACTATTAGCTATATGTTACTTATAAGTATCTCTCTGTTGACGCTTGCAGCCCTGCAGCCCTTGGAAAGCTCTGAATTGGGATAGTGACATTTAATTTAAGTTAATTGCTAGGCATTAGGCACCCTAATAAAGAGGCAATGTAGGAAAAGAAGAGCATGTGGCTAATTAAAGAGGTTGTATCTTCAGCTCCCCTGACACATTTCTTCCACAGTATGCCAACCTGTGGCACAAATTTAGCAGAAGAGCAGCTTATTTGCCTGCTCAAGTAAAAATAGTCTCAAGGCAGGATAAAGACTAATAAACTTTCAATGGCATAAATGTACATCATCAAGTTTTTCATGGGAACCGAAGTGGCAAATACAGACAAACTATCCAAACTGCTTTATATGATAACCAAGTAACTTCATGACAACTACGCCAAATTCTTTTCTCCTCCTGCTTTCTAGCACTGACAGAAGAATGTCAATTCCTTCTTAGAAGTATTCACAAAATTCACTCTCCTGGCATCTCATGCAATCTGTCCTGGCCACTAAAAAGCCATTTTGATGTCTTCCCATCATTCACAGTCTAGTCATATATGAGACAAGTCAATCTTATTCGAGATTAATTTTGAGTGGTTGATTGATTTCAACAGAAAAGAGAGGAGGAGGAGGAGGAGGAGGAGATGTTTTTCTGGAAAATTGGCAACCTAGAGAGAAGGAGCTATTTTAGAATAACGTCTATGGCAGTCAACTGGGGTAATGCAACAAGATTGTTGCATATTCTGCAATCTCTACCAATTCTACAATGTCTCTATCAAAAGAAACAAAAATGAGAGACTGGCAGCTGAATTTCTAAAAGGTGTCATCCATCGATTTGCACAACACTTATAAACTTAATCAAAGATTAGGGGTCAGCCTCTAATGTGATGTGTTTTTCATATGTGATTTTATTTCCTTTCTTAATTGCTATAATAATCTTAGCCATAGCTTCTCAATTGGGTAATGAGGAAAAACTTGAACAAGGAGTAGAAATTGGATAAAATAGCTTCATAACTTCCTTCTGGTCCCTACAATTATGTTCACATTGGTAAACCACAATTTTTCTTCAAAAAACTGTATTTTGTTAGCTAAGCCACAATTGGCTGGATTCACACATCACATAAGCTATAAACTATAACTACGGCTAATATACCAGAATGGATATAACCATGACTTATGAAGCTATAAACCAGATTTTATTATAACCTAGTATATGTGATCCCAGTCTATAAGCTGATACAAATTCAGATTAATATCTCCCACACCATAGCATACATAAACACACCTTACCTGATACAGAAATTCTCATGGTTGCCTCCAAAGGTCTATTGTTATCCAGGGCCCTGCTCAGACGTAGTTCTCCAGTACTGTGGTTCAAGAGAACAAGTTTCAATTCATTGCCTTGCTCAAAACTGTACGTAAGACTATCAGAAACATCAGGATCATAGGCTGGGATCCTGCCAATCACTCCAGTGGGGAAACTGCTGGACTTGTTGGTAATGTAGTTATTGAATATGATCTCAAAGTTCTTCAAGACTGGGACGTTGTCATTCTTATCCAGTAAACGAACATGCACAACAGCCCGGCTTACCAGTGGAGCTGAAGTAGCTTGGACTACCATGACATACTCAGACTTGGTCTCATAATCCAAATCCATCAGTGCTGTCAGCTCTCCTGAGAAAATATCAAGTTGGAACACCTCCGGAATATTACCTTCCACTATCTGGTACATAATTTGAGCATTGGTACCCTCATCTGGATCACTGGCAGTGATTCGGGACACCACTAAGCCTATTGGACTATTTTCTTCCACAAAGATGTCAAACTCATCATGCTCAAAGACAGGGGGGTTGTCATTGACATCAAGAACAGTGACATGGACATCAATTGGCGTCCTCATGGCCGGTACTCCTTTATCAACTGCGTATGCTCTAAGCTCATAGAGTGGAACATTTTCCCTGTCCAGTCTACGCAACGTCCTAACAATACCAGAGGTGGTTTCAATTATGAAGTCCCCATCACCATCATCTCCACCCTGAAAGGTATAGAACACTCTCCCATTCATTCCAGAGTCTCTATCTGTAGCAGAAACCTGCAGGACACTTGTGAAACCAGGTACATCCTCATAGACAGATCCTTGGTAATTATCCCTTAAAAACTGAGGCGCATTGTCATTTACATCATTAACTAGTATTTCTAGATAGGTGGTATCTGATTTCTGTGGGATGCCATTGTCACGAGCTGTAATTGCCAAAGTATAGGATACTTGGTCTTCATAATCCAATTCCATCTGAGTTGTCACAGCACCAGTATCTATATCAATTCTGAACTGAGGAATACTGTCTTCCATGAAGTAAGTGATACGAGCATTCTCCCCTGTGTCTTCATCTGTAGCACTGATAATCACTACAGTGGTACCCACTGGACTGTCCTCATTGATATTAACAGTGTAATGGGAGCTCTGGAACACTGGCCGATGTGTGTTGGCATCAGTTACATTAACAAAGACCTGAGCAGTGTCAAACCGAGTGCCATCAGAAGCTGTGATTGTAAGAAGATACTGCCGCTCTAATTTATAATCCAAGGGTAGGGCCAGAGTGATGAGACCACCACCACTCTGGCTGGTGATGGAGAAGCGATTGCGAGTATTCCCATTCGTGATCTGGTAGGTGATGACACTGTTGACATCCCGATCAATGGCCGAGACAATAAGAACACTGGTGCCCACAGCTGCATCTTCATTGAGACGCATGGTATATTCCCTTTGCGTGAATTCAGGATTGTTATCATTGACATCCAGAACGGTAATACTAACACTTGCTGAAGAAGTCATTGGAGGGTTACCGTGATCTCTGGCCTCAACCCCAAATTTATAGAAGTCCACAGCTTCACGATCCAAACCAGAAGCCACTACAATCCAGCCTGTGTTGTTATTGATAGTAAAAGGGAAATTGGGACTCATGTCAACCAGAGCATATTCTAGTCGGGCATTCTCCCCAGAATCTGCATCAATGGCTTGGATATGAATAACAGAATAGCCCACAGGTACATTTTCCAACACCGTGGACTGGAAAGGGGTGCTAACAAAAATAGGGGCATTGTCATTCACATCCAGTACCTGGATGGTCACCAGCCCACTGATGTTGGAAAGAGGAGGCCTTCCTCCATCTTGGGCCCTAATACGAAGAGTGTATTCCTTATTCATCTCATAATCAAGCTGGCTGACTACATCAATATTACCTATTTGGGCATCTATGTAAAATTGTCCCCGAGTGTTGCCACTCATTATGCTGTAATGCACCATAGCATTACTGCCTTTGTCCCTGTCTGTGGCATTTACCTGCAAGATGTGGGTGTTTGAGGCCACATTCTCCGGTACCTGTACAACATAACGTTTCTCACTGAACTGCGGTGAGTTGTCATTGTCATCCTCCACTGTAATATGAATTGTAGCCGTGCTGCTGCGCGGTCCTGGGTCTCGGCCCTGGTCATTGGCCTCCACGATCAGCTGATAGGATTCCACAGCTTCTCTGTCCACAAGGCCATTTGTGCGGATGACTCCAGACTTGGGGTCAATTTCAAAGATCCTGTTGGCCCCATTACCATTCAAGATGCGGTACAGGATGTTGGCATTGGGGCTGGCATCACCATCGGTTGCTCTCACCGTCAACACTTCGTAGCCAACCTCAAGGTTCTCCCGCATGCTCTCCTTATACTCCTGCTGCTCAAACACAGGATTATGATCATTGGTGTCACTGACCGTGATTGTGAGCGTGGCCAGAGCCGTGCGACGCGGTGTGCCATGGTCTGTCGCTGTCACCCGGAACACATGGGTGCTTTTGGTTTCTCGATCCAGTTCTTCAGCTGTGGTGACAGCGCCTGTCTGGGGATTAATGGCAAAGAAGCTGTTTGAGCGGCTGTCAAAAAGCGCGTCCATGGAGTAGTCCAAGCGGCCCCCATCCCCCTCATCAGGGTCCATGGCCCTCAGCAAGATCACAGGTGTGCCTGCCGGTCTGTTCTCCGGCACTGATACTTGGTAGGTGGGCATCTGGAACTGGGGGCTGGTGTTCACATCCCGCTTCCTTCTGCTGCCCCCCTCACCCTGGCAGCCACACCCCTCCAAGGGCCACAGCTTCTGCACCTCCTGCTGCGAAGAGCCCACAGCCAGGAGCCAGTGGACAAAGATCTCGGTCTTCTCATCGCAGGCTTGGCACGAGAGCCCCAACCGTAATGGGCGTCCCGGCCGGAGACACAGGGCTCGTGGGGGCAGGATCAGTTCTCCCTGGGGATGGAACGGCCCATGCTGGTCTCTAGCGTTGCCGCCGCCGCCGCCGCCGCCGCCTTGCACCGTGCACCTTAGCTGGCAGCCGCCCCGCGAGCTAGCGGGCGGCAAAGGAATGTGGGTGCCTGATTTCAAGCACAGAGTCCGGCTTCGCCCTCTGCGGAATCGGCCGCCCGGAACCGGGGCCAACAGAAGGTGGCTTAACAGCAACAGCTCTCCATCCTCGGCCGCCGCCGCCGCCGAAGCACCATCGCACCGCGGCCCCAGCAGGTGCGCCCAGAGGCCGCGGGCCGGAGGCGAAACCCGGCAAAGCCACAGCGGCGGCGGCTCGGCGCAAGCAGGCGGCCGGCTCGGTGGTGACAGCGGCCGCTCAGGCAGCCGAGGGTCCCTGAAGGGGGCGCAGAGAGGGGGCGGTTCGGGGCCGTCGGCGCGGGAGCGGGGGATCCCTAGCGCCAGCAGTAGCAGCACAGCCCGGCCGGGGGCGCCGCCGCCGCCGCCGCCCATCTCCCACCGCCCGCAGCCCGGTCTTCGTTTTGTCCGTCCAGCGATCAGCAACTGCGCTTCATGCCAAACGGGAGGTCCGGGCCGGTGGCCCCCCCCTCCCCGGTCCACCCGATGAGCCCGAGCAGGTCCGCCGTCGCCGCCGCCGCCGCCGTTGCCTGCTCTTCCGCCGCAGCCAGCTAAGGTCTCGCCGCCTACCAAGCAAGCCCGGCTCGGCTCCGCTGCGGCAGCAGCTCTGCGAGGCTCATTTCCATAGACCTGCGGCTCTTAAAGGAGCCGCGTCAGCTTCGCTGCTGAAAAGGCTGCTGCGCGGTGGGGCCTCCCTTCTGCACCGCCAGGTTCTCCTCTTGTGGGGCGAGCAACCTTAGCGTAGGAGGACTTCTGAACCGCCACGCACCTGTTGTCGAATGGCTATAATCCACCGCAAACACAGAGGATTCCGGTGCTTCCCTAAATACCTCAGACCAATCAAGGACTGTGTAATCGCAGCGGGAGGGCCTCCCAACGCAACGCATTTCCTACCTAGTTCCTCACTTCTTTGAGACCAGGGTTGAAAGGCAACCCAAAGCAGTCAGAAACAGTGCGCCTGTAGAATGTGCTTTCCCTTCACCTGTTTCAGAATTAAGCAAGAATATTTCCAGGCAGACAACTCTTGAGTGCTATAAATCCAAAGTGGTTGCCCCAAAAGTATCTATGAAAGGATGTGAGGGGCAGGAAAAACATGGGGTGAGAAATGGAAGACTAACCGTAACCAAAGTTTCACCTATGAGAGTGGACTAATTTCACGAGAAAAGCCATTTTTTAAAAAACACACAGATAGAAGGCAAGAGGACTCCATTCCAGAGGATGGCGTTTAACGTTGACTAGTTCTGGAAAACTATATTTAATCATTTTATTGTCATAATTATTAGTTGTCAGTTATTATTAGCAATATAGTCTTCTAAGACGGGCTTACTTGGTTTACTACTCTGAAAGAGGGAAAAAATCTATCTACAACGCAATATAATATAATACACCACTATCAATGTCCCCATTCACCTTTTCCCCTTAAGTTATACTCACCAAAGTTAATGCAGTGAAAGCCCCTTAATCATTGTGCTGTTTTCTACATCTTTCCCATCCCAAAACAATATTTTTGGGAGTACAGTAATAAAATTGTGCACATTATAGGAGAAGAGGTATGTTAATTGGTGGCAGAAATCAGGAAGAGCTTGATAGCAGCTCATGAAAACTTATGCCATTTAATAAAATTTGCTAGTTGGAAAAGTTGTTATCAGACTCCTGAAAACTCTACACAGTATCTCAAGGCTACAACATCATAATTGTCTATGTGGGAACCACAATATTGGCAGTTTTTGTATTCTTTCCACGTGCATCCTTGGGTAAATTTGTATGGATTTCATTGTAGCCTATTGATTATTGTATACATTTAAGATTACACTACAGGGAGGTGTGATGGCAAAAAATATAGGAACCCCTAATCTAATATAGCACAAGCATGAACAGTCTGTTATGCAGACAAGCAGAATTTCCACCGATGACATAAAAATAAAGCAAATAGATTACATGTGAGATTTCAGTCATTAAGGTACATAGAAAACTACCCCTTTGTGCCATATCTCAGTATGATTCTTGCAGATGTTGTAATGAATTACAAACAGAACTCTTTTTCAGCAGTCTTGGAGATGCAGATGTTCAGCTAGTCTATATTGTAAAGCAGGGGTCCCCAACCCCCAGTCGGTGGACCGGCACCGGGCTGCAGCACACCAGCAACAGGTCCGCAAAAACAACCAAAGCATCATCCATGGGATGCAGTCAGCACACAAAACCATGCCCCCTCCGGTCTGTGGAAAAAAACCTCTCCCCATGTAACCGATCCCTGGTGCCCAAAAGGATGGGGACCTCTGTTGTAAAGTATGCAGCCTTTCTTCATCGGTTGCCCTACAGATGTATTGGATCTGAATTTCTGTAATTCACAGGCAGTATGAATTGAGTCTTGCTATGATTCCCAGAGTGGAGGCAGCTGGTAGAAGTCTGCGACCACCAAAAGCTACAAGCAGAACACTTTAACATCTGAAGGAGGGCCCAGGAACACACCTTGTAGTAATGCACCTTATACTTCTCAAAACAATTTTGTCAGCTGCTCCTTTGAAATCTTTTACATGCATTCAGCATGTAAGTTCTGTTTGGCAAATGTAGGATGCTGTATGCGTGATATATGGAGAAATCACAAACATGTGATACAACTCAAAATTTACCCCAAGCCATTCAAGATGTGGCAGGGAATCCTCTTGCCACAAAATGTCTTGCATGTAATGATTTGTCATATCTCCTTCTTATATATGATGGTTAATACACAGCTACCTTTGCACAGCTATTATTTAGGAAAATTGAGTTGTTTGGCACAGTCGTGAATGTAGAGCCAGTCCCACATGTTTTATATCAGACTGAAGGTCTATGGAGATTCTCAGTCATCCAGGTCATAATTATCCCAAATATGCTTTTTCACGAGGCAACTGGACTTTCTTGTTTTTCTTTGAAGATGTTTTGCTTCTTATCCAAGAAGCTTCTTCAGCTCTGACTGGATGGTGGGGAATGGAAAGATTTATCTTTATATTATAAAGAAAAACAAGAAAGTCCAGTTGCCTCGTGAAAAAGCATCTTTGGGATATCAGACTGAAGGCATTAGGTTTGATCATGGGACTATAGATCACTGGGGAGGCCTTGGGGATAGAGATGACTCCTGGGTGGGGGAAAACAGCAGAAAAAATGTGTGTGATAAAGCACTGGAACATGTTCAGAAGGAGCCAAAGAATATGCAACAAATAACACTGGACTAGTTCAGGAGTGCACAAATTTGGAGGCACGGAGGTGAAAAGAAAGTATGGACAAAAAGTGAGCAGGGCCTGAAAAAAACATTTTAATTAAATTAATATTACATTAAATTAATTACATATGATTAGTAATTTTGCTTTTCTATCATATTCAAAATTAAAACATGACATTTCAGGGCTCTAAGGACCACACCTGAGGCTTTCTGGGGCTATTCATGGCCTTGGGTCTCAAATTGTACATCTCTGCATTTGATGGACCATGTGCCTGGCCTGATCCAAATCAGCATTTGATCATCCTAAAAACTAAGATTCTGCTTTCTAATCTGTAAGGGTATTTATTAGGTCAACCCTCAATCTGTTCTTGGAATCAAGGCCATTGTTCTGGGGAAGGTCTCATTCAACCCACTGTTGTTTCATAGGGCTGGCCTCAAGCCTTAGCTCATGAATCTGTTTGAGTAATAAATAGAGATAAGCAGAAATATTAAAACTATGCTGGACAGCAGCCTCAACTAGTACCCACATGCTCCCTTATTTTTCCAGTCTTCAAGAAGCTGGTCCAGCCAGCCCCAGTGGTTGATTGTCTGGATCCAAAATCAGAGCTAAGGGCTGGATTCTGTATTTTCCTTCTATCTCATTCATCTTTTTTCCTTGTCACACCAACTTTTGCAGCACATCTTGCTTGTGTACATTTTTGTATCCATAAGAAACCACAAGGACTGCTCCTAGAATAGTCTTTCTTAAAAGGGCAATGCCTCTAGCTTTTCCACAGCAACACTCATAGCAGGTGCATGTATCTATGAAAACTTTCAACTAGTGAGCTGGATAAATGCCATAATACCAGCACTATGTTTGTCATTTACATATTGGCAATATGTAATTAATGTTCCTGTTATTCACAGTTGTAAAACGTTTTTAAATCTGCAGTTCAATAATCTCTTTAGATAGGTAGATAGATGATAGATAGATAGACAGGCAGACAGGCAGACAGATAATGAACATTGAAAGCCAGTATAATACGAAGACATAGTTAAATCCTCCAAATGTCAAACACTGTCGCTTTAAAATTTGCAGCAAATGTTTTTCTCTTCTCCTGCTTTTAAACGTTTTCATTTATATATTTGTGCAATGGTTATTTGCTACATTAATTATCTTCCATTTTTTACACAATCCTATAAAATAGGTGACTGTACCAAAATCACCCAGGGAGGTTCCTCCATATGTGAAACTGGATTTGAAACTGGATTTCCTGGGTCCTAGTCCAAGGCTTTAACTATTACATTGCCATTGGCTTATGATTAATGCAATACATTATGATGGGAGGAGGAGGAGGAGGAGGAAGAGGAGGAGGAGGAGTTGTTCATCTAATATGGTAGTAATTCATGCAAAGTATTTTTTAAATTAATATTTTCATTCAATTGCAAACGGGGAACCTTGAAAATAGGTTACAATTTGAAACACCCAACTGATTCATGTGGTACTTGAGAAAAGCATTAAAAACAGAATGTATCAGCTAGTATTACACACTAATATATATAAAGGTTTAGCGTTCTCCAATCTGATGTCTTCCAGTTTTTGACATAAAGTCTTTGCAAGTAGAGCTTGATTCCATAGATATGCCTGTGCAGTTATCTTCACAAGTGGTATGCCACTGTTTTCTTATGGAATGATTCTTTTTTACTTCTCAGTCTAGTCTATAGCCGAGGAGTTCCCATCCAACTACTAACCAAGCTACACCCTACTTAGTTCTTTCAAGCTTGGCAGTTTAGACATATGGGACCACATTCTGTGATTGCACTTCAACTCCGATAAATTCCATCTAGCATTGTCAAAGACTGTATTAAAAAACAAAAAAAACCCATTTTATCAGATATGGCGGCTACATGCTCTATTCCCATGAAGCCCGAGTGGAAATGCCAACTGATTTTCTTTATCAGCAGAAAAAATTAAAATGGCCTTTCTGAACAATAAATTTGTAAGATGATAATGTTCAATTTTGATCTTAAATGTAGAAACATTTTATTATTATAATAATAATAATAAAGTTGGAAGGGACCTTGGAGGTCATCTAGTCCAACCCCCTGCTCAGGCAGGAAACCCTATACCATTTCAGATAAATGGCTGTCCAGTCTGTTCTTAAAAACTTCCACTGTTTAAAAACACTGAGATCACCTAGCAGTCAATACTAATACATTCTAGGAACAACAAGGAATAAATGCATTATTACATATTTAGATTTTATTTTTTTAAAGAAATAAATAATAATATAATGAGGCCACAGAAGCAATATACAAACCATTTGCCACTTGTTTGGCATTGTACAAGCATACTCCACAGGTGTTTCTTCACAACAGTAACAATATGTTGAAAATGTGAATTCCTTGGCATTTTTCCATGAGAGCTAAGGAGACAGAGTATACTGCACCTCCCTTCACTACTTTTATCCTCAGAGCAGAGCAAACATTTAAAAATATTTTTTGGGTACATGATGGATCTAGGCATGCTGGCAAGCTTGCAAAAAAGTGTCTGCAAAATGTTTGGACAAATGTAACAGATTGTCTTTTCATCGGTGTTATTTATGGCTCAAACCCTTTAGATGAAGGTTGCTAGAATTGTGGGTTTGAGATTTGTTTTGCTTCTGTACATGTTTGTGTATCTACACGGAGGCTTTTAAAAAATATGAA